GGGGGAGAGAGGAAAAGAGAGCGCTTCCGTTAATTTCTCCCGTGTTATTATCCAAACTTGAATAATGTACTTCATTTGAATGTAATAATTATGTTCCACTCGATGGGATCGGCTATCGGCTAGGGCTGCTCGATTATGGCAAAAATCATAATCTCAATTATTTGGGTCAATAATTGTAATTGCGATTATTAAATGCGAATATTCATTGACTTTGAAAACATCCACTTATTGGAGAATTTTTTTTTGAACCATATGTTTTTAACAGTTGATTACCCTGAACTTTAAGTATAATTCAACTGAAAAAAAAAAAGTAATAATAAAAAAATTATCGTTTTATTTAGATTACGTTGTTTTCGTAATCGTTGCAAGCCATAATCGTAATCGCGATTTAAAATACGACTAATTGAGCAGCCCTAGTATCGGCCGATACTGATTCCGGCGATCGGCCCCAAAATTGGTGATCGGAGCATCACTAGTTCCATTAACAGTTAAATATAAAGTCAATTAGTGTATATTTTAGGGTGTGGCTACCTTGTGATCCACAGACCGATACCACGTGCGGTTTAGGTGTCGTTTGTTTTTTTACAAAACACTTTATCCATTAGTGTGTTTGCTTGTAGACCATAAAAAACAAACACTGATGACAGATCGAATTACAGTATGTGCTTGACCATAGTAGTTTGAATTTAAGGGAATAGTTTCAGGAGAATTCAAGATTAGATTTTGAATGTTTTCGGCATTAAACCTTCTTCAGCATTTCTTCCATCACACCTGCAGGCCTTTGTGGAGCGACAGGATTTTGGGGTAAATCACACTGATCCCGTCACTTCCAGTCTGAGCCTGCTCAGCACAGATCAGCGTTTCTCTGTTCATTCACATTTCGGACACTGAGCTGGCAGTCTTTTCCAGGTCAGCTTAGCGGAGAGATGAGTTAGGAATTGTGTATTCAGTCTGACACTGTTGGTCTCAAACCTGCGACATTATGATTGCGAAATGGAAAACACTTTTCCACTGTTCTGCTGCCAACAACGATGTACTGTTTGTGCTTAATTTACAATAGCAACAATCAATTTTACAAAGGTGTGCGTAAATAAACATTAGCATGCCTATTGTCCTTTTTTTTATTATTTGGTGATTGAGCCACCAGTTAATCACAGCTCCTGTCAATCTGTGAATCTCAGTGTGACAAAATGTTGAGCGACGCAAATTGTGTAGAGGCAAATGACCCATTCTGAGTTGTCTTAAACTTTCTTTTTTGATTGACAGCATCAGATCAGTATTCTTTTTTTCCATTGTGACCGTGTCAATCTCTGGTCAATCTCACGTAACTGAGCCTTGCCAAGCTGTGATGATGAACATTCCAACTATACCGTCACAGCAGGGAATAGCTCCTTATCTGTGTGTATAGCATCTAAAACATTTTTGGTATTCAGGCCAACCGTGACATCCACATTTGCAAGTAGCACATACCATTTTTATTTGACAATATATGTGGATATAAGACTTACTATTCCGGTCAGTAATCTTACAACAACTTGAACTGAATTGCAGTTACGTCGTATGTTTTTTTGGATCACCATTTTCTGGTTCAAGCATGGCGCCCCTATTCTTATCTCAATCAAAACAAATGGCATACTCGCAGCCTAGGCATTAACATAAGAGTGCCCTCTGTGAATTCTGAGCCCCAATTTTCTGTAAAAAAGTCCTGTTAATGCACAAATCGGGCTAAAAACTCTGTTGTTCAACATTTGCTGCTATTCTTTGGATAATTTCATTGTTGTCCTGATGGAACAAACGAGATCGCGCTGTGACTTAAAGACACCCTGGAAAAATATAAAAAAGTTGCAAACTGAATCCAAGGAGAGACGGATGGGAGACCATGTGTGGTCTTATGTAAAGCCCAGATGGTCCCAGAGAAGCATGTGACAGACATGGAGGGAGAGGGAGAGAGGAGGGTCTGTCTGTCTGACTGACAGGGGGCTCCCGGGAGCCAACACCACAGGCTACAACACCTGGGCTGAGAGAGGCAGACCTGGGGTCAGTCGAAGGGGAGAGGGATGAAACTATAAACACAGTTCAACTTTGGAACAGAGGGTTCAGCCAATACTTAGTGTTTGATACGGTCTGATTTCTACTGGATTGTGTTGATCTCCAGTATAGGTAGGCCTATACATGTAAACATGTATCCTGTTTTTGTGCCATATGTTATTGAAAAATGTATATGTATCAACCCAAACTTATTTTTTGCTAATGCAGACACTGATGCTTGCTATAATTGAGTGTTTACTAACCCTGTTCCGAGCATATAGAGTTAAATAAGACTCAATAAACCTGGCTGCAAGGACCGAATGAATGCGTCATACATTTTATAGCTACATTCAAGAGCAGTTTATTTTGTCTTCCATTATGAATTAATCAGACAATTATGTATACATAAATTAATCAATTGGTTTGCCTAGGAAATGTCAGAAAAACATAAAAATAACATGTGTTCTTCTGCAACCCAAGGTATATAATTAAAATAGCTTGTATCACTTGACCAACAGTCTAATACAGGGGTCGGCAACCCCTGGCACGCGTGCCACCATTGGCACACGGCACCGTAACCAGTGGCACACTAGGAATAAGTGGAATAAGTGTGCAAACATATTTAAATTGTATTTTCGGATCCTGAACAAGACCGCCGCCAGAGTGCGTCCACCCGTTACCTGCAGAAGGAAGCCATGCACGCAACGCAGCCCCGCTCTCTTTAACTCCAGATGACTTTCTGCCGCTTTCCTCCGTGGTGCAGTGCTGATCGTTTCACCACGGAGGAAAGCACTTCACTAATTGCAGTACCCATAAGGAGCCGTACAAATGCAGCAGTTTTTGCGTGGCTGTGTCTTTAGTTGAAAGCCCAGTGGCAATCTGCTGATCTCTCATTGAAATAATATGCTACAAAGGGGTGGACTGGCCATCTGTGTGTTGAACTTTCCTGTCGGCTCCCAGACCGTAGTCGAGGAGGGCAGAAGCAACAAGCTTCAGGTTCAATAACCCACTTTAGCNGGATGACACAGACGGGGTTTGTAGGTATTATTTCAGGTACTCTTCCACCCTAAATCTATGAAATTTGAAATCCTTTGCTTCACGTTGGTATTGTTGAAGAATAGAATTAAAGGACCCTCGCTTATAGCTCATCGAGCGGCTTATGACTTTAGGTACGTAACGTTGTTGTGTATGGGGAGAGGGTGCTTCAGGACACGTGTGAGTACGACTTCCACAGCGATATTATCTTGGCGGTCTGGGGGTGAGGAGGAGGTAGAGAGAGGCTGGGTCTATTGGCGGAAAGTGGACTGTGAGGGCCATTACGGACGTAATGTGGCTGTAGTGGTTATGTTTCAAATGCTGGAGGCTCGTCCGGGTATTGATCTCGTGAGGTGAGATCAAAAGAGGGATTGAAGATTAAAGTTAACAGATATTGTTCTAAACTGTATTAAAGTAAACATGTATTATTGGGGACTGTTTTCAAGTAATCCTATATATATATACCCTTCTCACTCACTGACCTAGATACCAGCACACACACATATTCTTTTCAGCACACACACACATATTCTTTTTAGCACACACAGATATTCTTTTCAGCACACACACATATTCTTTTCAGCACACACACATATTCTTTTCAAGGTCCTTTCTGGGCACCAATATATCTGTGTACAATGTTTGATTGTCTGGGAAAGAATAGTTTGTGTGAAATATTCCTTGGGAAAGTAAAGGAGTGAATTCAGGTGCAAGATAAAAGATTGACTCTGTCCTTGTGTAGTTCCAAAGCTCTCACGCTCTGTTAAGAAGTAAAATAAATAAAAAATACATTTTTCCCAGAACTCTGATTCGCTTAGGAGTGAAATCGACTGCCTCCAAATCTGTCTAAGTATACTGATGTTTATCCATCCAGGGGGCTTCCTGTTTCTGACTGGCTGGTCTCGATACGTGTATCGCACGGCAGTAGAACTGGAAGTCCGGAGTACTCTGTAACTTGTATGGGTTTTCTTTACCATTAAAATCAATCAGATTATTGTTATAACTTTTATGCCGGTGTTTTGAACTCCTTCTTCTTATTAATGTGACCAGGCTCATCTAACGGACGGCGCGGAGCAGAGGTGGCCTTTAAGCCACCACCACTGTGGTGTTTTGCTCCAACAATGTATATAGACTTCTTGCACATTTTTATTTTATTATATATGTTGCATCGTTGGAGGAGCTCGGGTCAGAAGAATTTCATTGCCATTTCTACACTGTAGCTTATGTGACAATAAAACTTTTGAATCAAGTGTCATGCTGTCTTCAATGGAGATCTTTCGTTACGTAACCAAGATGGCGGTTGTTACATTTGGGAAGTTTCAAGCGTTCGACGCTCGCAATTTATACCGTGATGAGAGCACCATCCAAATACAAATGAAATGTATTATTTATTCATCACAAAGACGTTTTTATTTCTACATGTTGGTGTGTTTTCCTACGAATGTACATCATCACAAGTGTTACTGAGGCAGTGAGACAACTATCTGGTTGAAAGAAAAAAGGTAATTTGCTAATGACTCCATTTGACTACATCAAAAGAGCAATTAGAAAAAAAATTTGAACATATGGAGAAAAATACAATAAATCACGAAAGCGTCCTGCAATTATAAGAAATGTCAGACTGTCTCAGTTTTCACACAAAGACAAACTCCACAGTTGTTTTTCAAGAACGTGTCCTTCCATTATTCCTTGGGTGTGTTAATCACTCAAGGCGCTCTCACCTGTGTTGATTGCGTTCATACTTTTCACCTGTGCTCTGCCTATTAAAGTTCCTCAGTTTGAAACTTACAACACTCAAGAGCAGAGAAGTTGCTATTTCTCTGGTTCTTCTTTTACCCTTTCATCTGTCACATTGCACTGGGGTTTATAGAGTTTCTCTGCTGAGCCACGTTGTAAAGCTGTGGATCATCCCTTTGTACATCTCTGCATCTGGGATCTCACTCTGATGAAACTGTTACACAAGAATCCGTCAGACACTCATTTTATAAAGGGCACTTGTTTTCTTTTACATGTTCTAGTCAAATCCCTCCCTAAATAATGTGTGTACCCTGGAGTTATTTATTAGATACCTGGTTGTAAAATAATCAAAAACAGGCTCAAGACCGTTTCAGAAGTAGAAACAGTTTGGCATCTCTTGTGATTATAGCCATTGCTACGCTGACGACACTCAATTCATTTCCCCGCTCAGAGACCCAGGTTGTCGCACGCATCTCTGCTTGTCTAGCAGACATCTCTCAGTGGATGTCTGCTCACCACCTCAAGCTCAACCTTGACAAGACTGAACTGCTTTTCCTTCCGGGAACAGATTGTCCCACTCTTGACCTAACAATCAACATCGGCCCCTCTGTTGTTTCCCCGACTCAGACTGCAAGGAATCTGGGTGTGACCCTAGATAACAAACTGTCCTTCACTGCAAACATAGCTGCTACAACCCGCTGCTGCAGATACACTCTTTACAACATCAGGAGAATACGTCCCCAGCTGACTCAGAAAGCGACGTAGCTTCTGGTCCAGGCTCTCATCATCTCACGCCTAGACTACTGCAACTCCCTTTTGGCTGGTCTACCTGCATGTGCCATCCGACCTCTGCAGCTCATCCAGAATGCAGCGGCTCGTCTGGTCTTCAACCTTCCAAAATTCTCCCACACCACGCCGCTCCTCCGCTCACATCACTGGATTCCAGTAACTGCTAGAATCGACTTCAAGACACCGGTACTTGCGTACCATGCTGCGAATGGATCTGACCCTTCCTACATCCAGGACATAGTTAAACCATACACCCCAGCACGTGCACTCCACTCTGCAACGGCCAAACGGCTCGCTGCACCAGCACTGCGAGGGGGACCCAAGTTCCCATCAGCAAAAACACGTGGGTTTGCTATCCTGGCTCCAAAATGGTGGAATGAGCTCCCCATTGAAATCAGAACAGCAGAAAGCCTACACATCTTCCGGCGCAGACTGAAAACTAATCTCTTTCGACTCCACTTTGAGCGATAGAACTATTAAAAAAGAATTGCTAACTAAGCACTTATATAATAATAAAGGACTGGCTTATCTAAAGCCAGTTGAGTAGCACTTGAAATGTTTTAGCTCTATGAAACCTGATGTACTTATATGATTCTTGTTGGTCGAATGCACTTATTGTAAGTCGCTTTGGATAAAAGCGTCAGCTAAATGCAATGTAATAAAAATAAAGCTGGCGGCGCTGCCAAACCCCACAAACAACACACAATCCCAAATGTTTATTGGGAGTTCAAACCCGTTGACACTTACCTTTGAACACGGGGCTGATCTTCCATACTCCCAGACACCCCTGGCTGGCGAACTGACCAAAGGACAGCTCCAGGAAGAAAAGAGGGATTCCACAGAACACCAGCATGATGAAGTAGGGTAACATGAAGGCACCTGCAGGAGAGAGGCACTCAATCACTGCCTTTGTCTATGATCTGTGGGGACTGAAAGTTGTATATAAAATAGACAGTAAACAATGTTATGTTTAATTGTGTACGTTTTAGTGCTTTATTACTGGTGTGTGAGCACCTCAAAATGTATTTTCTGCTGATGGATAGTAATCCAACACACCAAGTAAACGTTCTTTCAAGCATTTTTGTGTGATTTGTTGGAAAATCCTAAAAAACATCAGTCTAGTTACTGTAAAAACGCTTTTTTTTAAGCTAATGTATAACTGCATAGTACCCTCAGCACTAAAAATATAAGGTGAAGAAAAATGGCCGCCATCATTTCCACCTCGGCAACCAAAAGCTGATGCCTAGTTTCCTGGTAACTTTTAATAGTTAGTGTTGAGCACTTTTGTGTAATGTCATCTAAAGACACAAATTGAAGGAAATTAATAAAAGAAAGAATAGAACATAAAAAATCAAACAAAGACCTCATCTGTCATGGCAACCTCCCCTAGGTAAGTGGAGAGGTCACTGCGCGAGTGTGTTCAGTGGTGCAGCAACTCTCTAGTGGTTCAGACTGGAACAGAAACCAGACAATCATCCAAAGGGAACGTCTGTGCGTCAGGACAGTCATCTGTTTTTTGAGAGTGTGTGTGGTTTTGTATATATGCCCTTTTGCAATTTGGGTAGGTGCAACCAGCTGATACCAAAACTTCCTCTGTGTGTGTAAGCTGCAGGTAGAAGCTGATGTGAGACCTACTGCCTAGTCCTTGCACATGAATTTAGGTATTTTACAAGCATTAAAATATTTGAAGCACGGAATCATCGACTTAGAGTACCTCGACTAAATTCACAACTTTTCAGTATAGTTTAGTATTTTTCTAGGAGCCATGGAAAAAAGATGTCATGATGATCCAGGCCAAAGTAATTGCGATTCACCATATTATCAGATACCATCAAAAATATGCTTAAAGCTCTTAAAATGGCACCAAAACATACTGGAATAACTTCACGTAGCATATTGCTAAGATACAAATACTGTTGTGTTGTAAAAGATTGTTTGTAAAAATCAAGAATCAGAATCAGGTTTATTGTCCTACATACAAGAAATGTGCTTTGGTGTATACCTAATCACAAAAAGAGGAATTACATTTAGAATAAAATAAGAGCAAATTTTGTAAAACAATAAAATGTTCAAGAAGAATATGTACAGTATACCTATAACACATCATAAGACTCCACTGCATTGAAAAGGATAAACTGATTTTCTTAAGGGCAACATTGAATTGGTTTGCTCTTTCTACATTATTATTTCTTTCATTTTAAATCAGGCTATAATGTTCACTTATCTGCCAGGAAAGCGTGCAACACAGAATTTTCAAGTAAAAGGATATTTCCAGCTATCCCGATAATGTCAATTTACAATAATTTCTTGTTTTGTTTTATTACGATCCATGATCCTATATCAAGCTTTCCTTATTTTCAAGAAATATTAAGTACACATTTGTATCTATTTAATTTAATAACGCCTCTTTTTGATGCATTTAACTTGATGGCAGAAAGACTTTAAGGGCTTGAATACAGTTTGTTTTAATCAGGGTCTTGTGCTTTGAATACAATGGCTGCATGGCAGATATAGCACGTCAGCGGAAGCAGCTGGATCCACTCGGTGCACTCAGACACATTTTGACAGCATTCACAGCCCAATTAACAATAATGTAGTGACGCAAATCTAGACCCGATGCTTAAAAAGACACGTTGTATTGAGGTTATGTGCATAAAGTGTGAGAGCAACATGGCTGGTTCAATCAGACAGACGTGATGTAGCTGTGAAAAGTAAAAAAGGTGCACTGATGTGGAATACAGTTGATATACAGGTGATCTGTTAAGTGATGTGAAATGGGTCAATTAGTTTTATAATCACATTCCCTACACAAGTCTATAAATATAGCTAACACTGAACACACATGGATTTATTTTTGTTTCAATGTATGAAAACCAGAATGTATTGTTTCCCCTTTTAATCTGTTTAGTTTGGAGGTTACATTACAGCTGTTTTGACTTCTTGAATAGTTTTTAAAAGCCCACAGATGTTTATTAGGAACAATTTTAGAAAGTCTTTACTATCAGATACATTCCTTAATGGTTAAAGTAGTACACTGATTTAATAAATGACTAGTTTGAATACAGTTAGTTGTAAATAATCTAACATATTTCACACTAATTTAGCTGATGAATTAGCATAGTAGCTATCCACTCTTTCCTTTATGTTCAACCTATGCACTTTCTAGGCTTGTTTTGAAAAACTTAGTTTTGTGAGAGCTGTTAAGAGTCAACCATTTGCACCAGTGAACATAAACATGACTTTTGTTTCAGTCAAGTTGATAAAGAAAGCTTCTAAAATATAGCTTTACGGAGCTAAACATTCCTTACTTACAGATAGTCTACAGGTTTCAAATGTGTAATTGCTACGGGAGTTAATATCTCGGTAGCTCACAATTCAATATGAATCATTGATTCCATACCCAGGGGTGCTAATTTCAGGACATCCTCAGAGGTAGTGTGGCAAATAACACTATGAGAATGTGCGTGTTATAAATATAAGAATTATGAGGTTTTTACATTTGGAAAAAATAACCGGAACTATGTAAAGACATGAAAACAAAAAGGTAACTTTTATTCACGCTAAACTTGCTCAATTGAAAAACATTACCTGCATACATTAAACTGAAAGGCTAGCTGCCTTTTTATGCCTCGAAAACATTCCAATTATTCAACTGAATTTTCACAAAATAACACTGTTATTTTATTTATAAAAAATCAAAACGAATGCTTTGTAAATGTTACTTGGCATGTAGTATTATGACTGAGGTTCTTTTGTGGAAAAAAATATGTTTCACCCACTTCATCTGTATATCTCTCCATGTATGTCATAGGTTGGTCACCTTTTTAAAAGTCAACTCAATGAAAGACATACCTCCTCCATTTCTGTAGCAGAGGTAGGGAAACCTCCAGACGTTGCCCAGGCCCACCGCGTAGCCCACGCTGGTGAGGACAAACTCAATCTGGTTCCCCCAGTTCCCTCTCCGGGAGTTTTCATCCTTCTTCACCGGCTCACCTGGAACTGCTCCATTCTACAACAAACAGAGGGACAACACATGTTAAAAGCACTTTCTTTACAATCAATCCCATGTGTCTGAAATGCCACATTTGTGGAAGCACATTCATTCATACGACGATGGAGAATAATTAACATCTTAAGGTTGCATGTGGAGTCGAATTATTCATGTTCTACAATATTCCTGTAACATACTATCTGCTCTACCCCAGAGTGCAGCATAAGGTGTGTTAGCTGGAGCAGACAGGATGTAAAGTGAAATCTGCGCCTTAAGATCAGCCGATAAGCATTTGGTCTTGTCGTCCTGATTTCGAGCTTTTCCTCTCCTCCCTCCCTCCCTCCCTCCATCACTCCATCTGCTGGCATCAGATGGTCCCTCTCCTCTGACCTCCTTCCTAACCTCAGCTGTGTCGGACTGTCTGTGCTTTTGTGGGTGCACATGAACACACTCGTGCAGAAAAATAAATACAGCTAATTGTGATGAGCTCGTTTTTGCACAATGTACTTGTAGTACTCTCGGATCAGTCATCAACAAACTGAAATTGTGTAATAGCTTTGGTTATTTTTACACATTTTTTCAATCTTTTTTGATTTAGCTGTGGCTGATGATTCTAAAAACATAAAAGGTGTATGGCGTAAACACAGTTCTCGATGGGCAAAAGGACAATTTTTGAGGTGGTGGATTGTGATGCTTTCCAAAAATAAAAGGTTTAAAGTAGAAGTAAGGATATTTACTCATGTAAAAACTAAATTGTGGCCCTGGATTACATGTAACATTGTGTATATCTAGAAGCCAATAGCATTTTGATGCAACATTTTGAATTTGTGTGCCTACTCAAGTTATTTTAAGTTGGCCAATTCTAACATATTCCTAGTTGTACTAATTGGTAAGTGAGTTCCAATTAGTAGTTTTTTTTGGAACAAACTAGGATGAATTAAGTGTTAATCTTTAAATGGAAAGGTTTGACTAAACCATTAAGAAATCTGGAAAGCGAATGATTGTGCCTCAAAGGTCTAGGAAAGAAGGCAATATGGACTATTAAACTAGTTATTTTTTCCAGTAATATATACTTAATATTTTGTCGGTGGTTCATAACATTCCTTGTTGACAATAAAAGGTCTAAAGATTTGATTGTGGGAGTTTGTTTTCTATTTTTGGAGTTTTTATTGTAGTTCTTTTAATATGTAGACGCAGCTCTCTGGTTTATATGCATTAACAATGTCTATGCGAACTAGGCGCAGTTGTATGCATGGCGCCATAATGAAAACGTATTTCCCTCATTCATGCTGCCTGTGTTATCTGTGTATAGCAGGGCCAGATTTCCAGAGGCTCAGTGAATGAATAGCTCGAGAAAAATGTGAATTACTTGTCATAAAAAAAACCCCCTCTTTTATGCTTTTAAAAAAATCACATAATCTTTAGCTGTCATTGGAAAATACACTACGTGCCTGTAGACAAGTAAACCATATACCGGTACACAAGAATGACAGTTTTTCAGCAAAGTTAAACTGCTTTGTTAACAGTTTTATTTGTGGAAAAAATAATAATATAAGAGCAATAGAGAGACATTTATGTTTTGTTCCAATTACATGAAACTGCTGCAGGACAGACACCAAGCCCAGGGGAAAGCATGTTGTTGTTACTCACACACACACACAAACACACACACTCACACACACCTCCTAGGCCGTGCTCCTTCCAACAGAGCAAAATCTTGTTCATCAGCAAAAATATCAACAAAGCAACCACAATGACACAAAACAACCTCTACACTATGCTCCCATTGGATTCAAAGTTCAACTCTGAGGCAGCGCCAAGCACAACTAATGAGAGAGTCAGTAAAACAGCAAAATAAAACAAACAGCTGCCATGTTTTTCCCAAAGGCTTCGTCTTACTTGGACTCTGGCTGTGTTTGCATGTCAGGAGGGCAAGACAAAAGGCATCCTTGACCTTTTTTTTGTAAAGTAGAGTGGAGGCTGCAGGTGGGACAGACAGGAAGATCAACAAACACAAGTGGTTGATAGTGAGGAGTGAAGTCACGATCACAGCAGGGTGTAAGGAGCAACCCTTTGGAGGGTCACGCGCTACAATGTCCCCGCCTGGAGTTCACTGTGGAAGGAAAAGCAGCAGAGGAGTCGTGTGCAGCTGTGTGTGTGTTATTTTTTGCACCCTCTATTCGGCACTACAGCATGTACATCTGACTTACCTATCAGCAACTAGGTGTGTGCCTTTATAAGATACACAAGCACATGCACGAGTGCTCAGGTTGACAGCTTGGTTCAGGTCTGCACCCTGACAAACCAAAAGGAGAGAAAACTCTGGGAATAGCAATGACCCATGAGTCTATGGCGTACACTCTTTAAAAATCGACCTGACATATTGAAGACAGGCACACGGTCGGGTTTAAATTCAGTGGTAAAGTGAGTGAGGTGAAAGAAAGTGGAGGGCATGAGTGGAGGATGTTCTTTTACAGACACTGGGCTGTTGCAGTGTAGTTGCTAAATTTAGTATCAAGTATGCTGACATTTGCATTAAAGCAAGGATGGGCAATCTGTAGCGTATAGAAAGCTCTAGAGAGCTGATTTAAACCTTGGATGCTTTGTATTCGTTTGAATTTTTTGACATGGTGTCCCATGAATGTTATAAGCATGCATTCAAAGCATCATTTAAAGCCATCTTTTGTAGTACTGAAAGAGCAAAACTAAATCTCAAAACAAAGCTTAAAGTCATGAAAAAATATATAAAAACGCGTTAATAACGCAATTTGTTTTTAACGCCACTAATTATTTTAACGTGCGATCAACACATGTGTATTTGTCCTCGGCCTGCCCCGTAGTTTCAGAGCCCAAAGGCTTGACGTTGTTGTTGTAGTTGTTGTTGTTGTTAATTGGATGTTGTTTTAAACAGCAAGCCAAGCACACAGAGATGCTGACAGCCCCGCTCCTACCGCTCGCTTGCGACAGACCACGCTTGAAAGTTTGCCGGGGAGATGCCTGGACAGTAACAGCGATAGCTAAATGGGGGACTACAGCTTAACATTGTGGAGGACGAGGGGCTGCGTTAGATAATTCGGATCGCATCCAATATGTCGACTGCACATCACAGCGCATTATTTTGACCCACAGTGGGAACTTCATTCCCATGCTTCGACTGAAGATGATTACAGAGGAGCGGCATTTCGCCGACAACTGTAAACAGGCTTGTCTGTTTGAGCAACTGGCTCAGTGCAAAGAAGTAGACTTTTTTTGTTTCCTTGTACGATGTGAGGGTCTAAGCCAGGACAGAGGGTGTTGTATTGTCATACTGATATTCTGTACAAACTGTGAAGACCACTGAGACAAATGTAACATTTGTGATATTGGGCTATATAAATAAACATTGATTGATTGATTGACAGGAGTATTAAAAAAAATATTCCTCTAAGGTACATTTAGAACAGATACAAAATGTGCGATTAATCGCGTTTAACTATTTGAATCGACTGACAGCCCTAATGTTTACATTTAGATGCTATACAAAATAAATATACAATGAGATTTTGTAGTGCAACCATGTTACAGTGCGCAGTAACTACAGTATGTAACTATGTTTTGAAAGATGCTACAATGAAGTTTATTATTATCAAATCTTTTAAGTAACTTCAGTCCTAAAGAAATATACATTCTTCAGGATCTTTAAATTAAAGTTTGTTTACATAATGATTATGGTTATTAACGACATAGATGTTGATGCAATTTATTTTTGGTTGTGAAGAGTCACATTTCTTAAAACAAAGTTTAGTATTTTACAAAACTAAAATGTTTTTAATATATCATATTATAATATTGTTGTTTTAACTTTCACAGAGTTTAACTTTTAAATAAGTACACAACTAAACCATTTTATATTCATTCATATTTAGGGTCTGAGACCTAGGTCGGCGAAGACCCTATTGAAATCGGTCGCACAGCGACCGATAAACCTGCGAAACACACCCAAAACAGGGAAAACGACCGGCAAAAGCACAGAAAAGGTTCGGAAATGATGAAAGCTGATAGGCCGCGCGAGCCCAGTCGCATAATTGNCCATCAGAACAACCTTCTTGATCCGCACCAGTCTGGTTTCAAGGCAGGTCACTCAACAGAAACTGCTCTCCTTGCTGTCTCTGAGGAACTGCACACGGCTAAAGAGCCGTGTGCAGTTCCTCAGAGACAGCAAGGAGAGCAGTTTCTGTTGAGTGACCTGCCTTGAAACCAGACTGGTGCGGATCAAGAAGGTTGTTCTGATGGAGATAACAGGAGAGTTGTTTAAAGACAGCGCGTTCAAGTGTTTTAGACAGGAACGGGAGGAGAGAGACAGGCCTGTAGTTTATAACATCAGACGGGTTGAGAGTGGGTTTCTTTAGGAGAGGGTCTACTCTTGCCTCCTTAAGACTGTTTGGAAAGTGACCAGAAGTTAGAGAAGTGTTGATGAAATGGGTGAGAAACGATAGAATATCAGGAGCGATAGTCTGAAGGAGGTTTGAGGGGATAGGTTCCAGAGGACAGGAGGTACTACAGGCAGAAGTAATGAGGGTAAGAACCTCACTTGGAGAGAGAGGGGAAAAAGAGGTTAGTGTGTGGGTGAAAGGAGGGTCTGGTGACCCAGCGGTGAGTAAAGGTGAGTCAGAAAAAGAAGAGCAAATATAATCAACCTTTTTTTCAAAGTAGTTAACAAAGTCGCTTGACAGAAGGGAGGAGGGGGAAGGGGCTTTGTGGGGGTCCAAGAGGGTGGAGAAGATGGAAAATAGTTTTTGGGGATTTGAAGTCGATCCATATGTATCAGGCTCTGGGTGACATAACCAACTAACCCTGCAGCATCAGAGTGTTGTAAATGAACACACAACCCCCTGTGCTTATGTGCACGTTAAGTGTGTGGTTTCTATTAATTATTCTAAACCGTTAAACATTGTAAACACTTCACAGTTTGAGCAAAACTTGTGAATCACTTTGTGAAGTTATCTCTTCGCAAATAACTTCATCAAAGATTTATTACTGATCCTACCTCATGGCCAAGTGAGCCCGGCTGTGAAATGACCAAAAATTGCCTTTAGCACTTTTCACAGCGTACTTGACTGCAATGTGTCATAGCTGGGTTCCTTAAAATGTATCCTGCAGTTTTCTGTTGTGAAACTAGGGGGCAGCATTGGATGCAGTAGCTCAGTCTGTAGGGACTGGGCTTGTGAACTGAAGGGTTGCCGGTTCAAGTGTTGATCAGACCAAAAGTAAAAAGTTTGGACTGGTACAGGCAGGGGCCAGGTCACTTCCTGGGCATCAAGTTGTCCTCAAGCTTATAATAAAGAGTATTCTTCTTACCATCAAACTTGTGGAGGTAAAGAAATAATAACATAAACCTGCTATTTGTAAGGTCTGACTCAATCTAAAACATGAAACATCATAATATGTTTTGATATATAACCCTAACTTAACCCTAACCCTAAGCAATACACAGTAAGAGGTAATCATTCTGTGCTTAGTTTAAACATTAATATGTATGTTTGGTGTCATACTCAGGGCAGCCAACAATTCAAGTAATAAGATGGGCATGTGGTGAGAGCATCTGAACATTTGTAATTGTATGTTATCAATGTAATGTGGGTCAACAGGTCTTATGATATTGATCTTAAGATAGATATCTTTCAGCACATGGTGTTGGCAATCTTTGCATTCACCCATGGTTAAGAATGCAATTTTATGTAAAGAACCAGTGAGTAATGTGAGGTCAATTCACTTTTATATACAAATGTATCAGCTTGAAGTGAAGAGAAACTTAACAAAACTATGGGTGTTTCTCAATCTCGAATACGCTTGCTTGGTAGCACATGTCTTCCGAGTGTCTTGCTTCAGAAGCGAGGCAAGAATACTTCCTGGCATTCGGAAAACGAAGAGTGGAACAGGCGAGCAAGTGTGCAGGTGTGCGTCATATGAGAGGCCCGTCTTACATTTTTCCGCCACAGATTTGGGGAAATTGGTCAGTGCGCAAAGCATTATGGGGATTTTAAGACCGCGGAGTCTAAACATGTGCAGCCTCGAAATTTCTCAAAACGAAGTACGCCGGGCTCGGTAGAATTCCAAGTATACTGGACATTGGAACAGTACTTCGGCGGCACTCGATGACGTAGTATGCTTGAAATAGTGGCTCTGGAGCAGCTTTACTCGAGATTGAGAAACACCCATAGTTTGTGGATGCCCCTACAAACACATTATGTGTTATAGCAGGAAAGTGAGGATTAACCAGTTAGACATTTTGAGACACTTCAATACAATATGAAGTCGTACAAAGTTTCACTAAAGTTGTTTGATTTCATTTTACAAATAACATTTATTTATTTGCTTCCTAAGGATGCAGCCTTTGCATTTGCTTCACATTTTCATTCTAACGTGTTCCCATTGTGTCTTCTTTACCCTTCAGGTGTGGGCTATGGCATGATGGTGGTTTCCACCTACATTGGGATCTATTACAACGTGGTCATTTGTATATCCTTCTACTACTTTTTCCAGTCAATGACACACTTGTTGCCATGGACCTACTGTAACAATCCCTGGAACACACCGGACTGCAGTGGCGTGTTTAGCAGCAACTTCACCACCAGACTGGCTAACGTTAGCACCAGCCTGGTGGAAGGGGTGACCGAGGTAGTCAACCGCACCAAGAGGACCAGCCCCAGTGAGGAATACTGGAAGTAAGTCTCTGATACATCAGTAATACGACAAGTAAAAACCAAAGTCCTTCAGCATTACCATTTCTGATTATATTCGTCAAACTCCAAGGTGCAGGAATATGGTAAAGGAGTATCCGCATCATAGATAGTAAAGCAAGGATCGGCACGATACCGATAGGGTGCTTGATAATAGCACCATGATCTGCACATCATTGACCTTTTCTCAGGCGCTGATTCTCAAAAGTTATTGCGCAAATGTTATCACATCCCTAACCCATCGGAGAGGTTTGCAGGGTTTTTTACGTCCATCCAAATCCCCACAATGACAGGAGGATGAAAGAGTAGGGGGAAAGGATAGGGATACAAGGAAAAAAATGGTTAATTGTTTATCATTTATGTATTTCACCTTTTTTCCCTCATGAAGTGTTGAATCTGACATATAGAGGTGCTTTAATATTATTATGTAATGAAGTGTCATTGCATCCAATCAATGCATCCCATATAAAAAAATGAAGAGGAGCCTCTTTATAATAATGTGAGGCAGTTACCTCTAGACTCTTGACAGTATTTTCAATGAGGCTCATTTGCATAGAAAAAGGCACATTTTGCGCCAAATATATGCATATTATCTGCATTTTAATTTGTGCAAAGAGCACAGGAGCTCGTATTTATGTAGGTTCAGCGGCTGCTAAAACAATGCAATTCTCCTTTTAGTTTTTTGAATTTTTCAAAGGTAATCAAGTGAGTAATCCTTAGCTCCTATAAGCTTGCCGAAAATAGGGCTTGTTTTACTGGCAAGCATTTAAATATTTCTACTAGATTTAAGTTGAAATGTAGCAGCTTCTGAGCAGTGTGGGACATGAAGGAGATGTACCTTTGTTCAGTATATTGGACAACTCCATTTTAATATCAGTATCATTGATAGGATATGTATACACAGTCAATGAAGGGCTTTCAAAGTGCACCTGCTATTTAAGTTTATGAACAGTAGTGCAGCTGAAGATTAAAAGGGGTGGAGTCATAGGCGGCGCGTGAGGCTCAGGTTTGGGAAGGCTAAATCACTTTTTTTTACCTGACGCTGCCCGCCTCCGGCGTCTATAGAAAAGAGATCAACTCTCAGTGAAAGCACCGCCTGCTGACCAATCAGAGCTCAGTGTGCGGAGTTTAAATCTATCAAGTCATATTACAGGATAAAGGAAATACAGTTTAAAACTGCCGTATGCAGAGAAGACGCCGACGTGTCGCACTTATGATTCATATCTCGTCATCAATCAGTACATCGATCATATAATATATCATATTTCCTTATCTGAGCCAGCTTCTCGAGCCGTATCTGGCCGTGCATCACCTACATTGTCACATACTGTATATGTAGACCTATTATTTTAAGCAAACATTAAGTTACTTAATGTGACTTACTTGTGTTGTTACTTAAGTGTTACGAAACACTCAACTCAAATGTAATTAAAGTCAGATCCACTCGTGTCTTAGATGGGGCAGTGCTATCATAAAACTGTTGTATGCTTTCAAACACACTTATTTTTTAACCAGTTGTTCTGTATTCACCTTGCAGGTGCAACTATGTCGCTTGTATCCTGGATTATATGTTTAAATCATGGATGTTTAAAGTTCATATTTGTCTAATATTAGTTTACTTTTCATTAATAATGAAGTACGACACTGAGCTGTCAGTATACTTGTCCCTGTTTGTGATTGGTCAAATGTAGCTAACCCCGCCCCTTTCATGTGAATGCGCTCTCAGCTGGAGAGAGAAACCCTGGCTTGATTTACCGAGTTGATAACCAGCGTCGTAGGACCGCTTAGCGAGAGCACGTTTGTTAGGGTTAGTTAAGATAACTCAAACATATCCAGGGTATGTTGAACTGGCTTCGTACAGAGCACAGGTGGCTGCATAGCAGCGCTAATGTCAAAGACACAAACAGTATACATTTTATTTTTATTTTACCAGGATGCAGTGACAAAAATATTTGGGAAGGCTT